CTCGGCCGCAAGCGTCAGGCAGGGTGGACATTGTCACTCTGGGGGGGAGGGGGGAGGGGAGGGAGGGGGGGAGGGGGGAGGGGAGGGAGGGGGGGAGGGGGGAGGGGAGGGAGGGGGGGAGGGGGGAGGGAGGGGGGGAGGGGGGGGGAGGGGAGGGAGGGATAGTGTAGTGTGTAGTGTAGTAGTGTGTAGTGTAGTGTAGTAGTGTGTAGTGTAGTAGTGTATAGTGTAGTGTAGTAGTGTATAGTGTAGTGTAGTAGTGTGTAGTGTGTAGTGTAGTAGTGTATAGTGTAGTGTAGTAGTGTATAGTGTAGTGTAGTAGTGTGTAGTGTAGTAGTGTATAGTGTAGTGTAGTAGTGTATAGTGTAGTAGTGTATAGTGTAGTGTAGTAGTGTAGTAGTGTAGTTTAGTAGTGTATAGTGTAGTGTAGTAGTGTATACTGTAGTGTAGTAGTGTATAGTGTAGTAGTGTATAGTGTAGTGTAGTAGTGTAGTAGTGTAGTTTAGTAGTGTATAGTGTAGTGTAGTAGTGTATAGTGTAGTTTAGTAGTGTATAGTGTAGTGTAGTAGTGTATAGTAGTGTAGTGTAGTAGTGTATAGTAGTGTAGTGTAGTAGTGTATAGTAGTGTAGTGTATAGTACACACCCGATACCCGTACCCTACCCGATACCCGGCTACCCGTACTCGGCCAGGTACGGGTACACGTTTGCGACCCTAGTGCGGCCGGGTATGGGTAGCCTGGGTAGGTCGTGAGTCACTGGTGAGTCACCGTTTGTCACTCATTTCCCAACGTCTTGTCTCTTCTCACAATTCAAGTTCCTAGAATCAACCCACCCGCGCCTGCAACATGGCTTCATCCCAGAGGTCGCAATCAGGTACCGTTACCCGTACCCTATACCTGGCCGGGTATGGATAGCCGGGTATCGGGTAGGGTACAGGTACGGGTAGGGTACAGGTACGGGTAGGGTACAGGTACAGGTAGGGTACAGGTACAGGTAGGGTACAGGTACGGGTAGGGTACGGGTACAGGTACGGGTAGGGTACAGGTACGGGTAGGGTACAGGTACGGGTAGGGTGGTAGGGTACAGGTACGGGTAAGGTACGGGTACGGGTAGGGTACAGGTACGGGTAGGGTACAGGTACGGGTAGGGTACGGGTACAGGTACGGGTAGGGTGGTAGGGTACAGGTACGGGTAGGGTACGGGTACGGGTAGGGTACAGGTACGGGTAGGGTACAGGTACGGGTAGGGTACGGGTACAGGTACGGGTAGGGTACAGGTACGGGTAGGGTACAGGTACGGGTAGGGTACGGGTACAGGTACGGGTAGGGTACGGGTACAGGTACGGGTAGGGTACAGGTACGGGTAGGGTACGGGTACAGGTACGGGTAGGGTACGGGTACAGGTACGGTAGGGTACGGGTAGGGTACAGGTACAGGTAGGGTACAGGTACGGGTAGGGTACAGGTACGGGTAGGGTACAGGTACGGGTAGGGTAGGGTACGGGTAGGGTACGGGTACGGGTAGGGTACAGGTACGGGTAGGGTGGTAGGGTACAGGTACGGGTAAGGTACGGGTACGGGTAGGGTACAGGTACGGGTAGGGTACAGGTACGGGTAGGTTACGGGTAGGAGGTACGGGTAGGGTACAGGTACGGG